CAATTTTTATTTTTGCTTTTGTATGGATAGATTGTTGAATTTAATAAATATCATTATTATTATTTATTATTATTATTATTATTATTATTATTATCATTATTATATTACTTTTATATTGAGTACCGGCAGGTGTCCCAAAATTGAGAACAAAAACTTGAAATATGAGTGGATAGATACAGAGTTTGATCCTTCTGATATATAATATCTGGAATAAGTGAAAGTTTCCCTATAGGCAAGTGTGGAAATCGAGGACAATAATAATAATAAGCATTATAATCATTTATCATAATGAATAAACAAATGTTTCAGACCTCAAAAACTATATTTCGAGGATCATGTCACCAAAGCCGACGAGCTTCAAATATTGGTAATCAAGCAAAAATAGTACTCAAGCTGTAATTCAGTTCTTCCATTCGAAAACGGTAAACTGATCAAATAAACCTCAGTTTAACATTACAGTTCATATATTACTGCGGCGTGCGAAATCATCTGAACTAAATACGAGACTTAACTTTGCTAAAGAATTCGAATTGCTCGGATTCCTCAGAAATATAAACGAGAAAAAAATTGAGAAAGATTACACATTTATTTTCAACATATTTAACATGTTTTGTTGTGGTTAAAACAAAGTTATTGACGGAAACAACGTATAACAAAAGAGTGGATTCAGAGGCTTCCTCGCATCCAATGGCACAAATGTAGCTATTAGCTATTCAGGAAGAAGTAAAGTTATCGAAAACATTTATCATCTATAAACTATTCAAACAATTGTAATCAAAATCGTGAATCATTTTCAGCAGGTAGAAACACATAAGGGCGCACGCTGACTCCTTTTAATAAGACACGAAACGACGAACTAATATTATATTGTGCTGGAACAAGACCTGGGATCCCCTTCGAATATATTTATCAAAGTTAGTTAAAGAGTTTATTGAATTTCGTAGAGAACTTGAACTTGGACTACACTGAATCCACTTGAACGAATTCAAAGTTCGAGGAACAATGATCAAGTCGGCATTGTATGAGAAACCAGCATGCAATGAATCATAGATAATGAAACGGACTATTCCCATTCTCAGTGGGAACCACAGAATCAATCGATTCCGTACAATAACTGTTTGAGCTGAATGCCGTGGCTATTTGTCCGATTGTATGCTAAGAACAGATCGTAATTTATCGAAGAAAACTTTGTGTGTGGATTATCGTGAGATGGTCAGATGTTATTTGGGCTGTACTTGGTATACGTTGAACACAATTTGATTGTTTTAGTTCAATCATTAGCTACTTTGTGAAGTAATTAGTGACAACTTTGTAACATTGCAGGCGTAAGACAAATGTAGCGTCGCAAACTTCCAACAGTTTCGTGAAATTTATAGTCCGATAGTGTACACTTGAGATTAATGTGCCCAAAACACAAAACATCTGCTATACTGTTTTGAAACGATTTTTGAGAAAAAAACCTATACCGATGAAATAATTTCAATATATTCTGATATATTGAAAAATTACGTCCTTGAAATTCAATTCTAACATTAATTTCTGAAGAGAATGCTGTGACCAAAATAATTCTCTGAATATTGAAGAGGCAAAAAAGCCAAGTTGATATTTTAAAAAAATTACGTTCATGAAATTCAATTCTAACATTAATTAGCTCTAACAAAGTTGTATTCAACAACGAAACGTTAACGAAAATGAAGATTTTCACATTACAAAGTGCCTGTTATTGGTAAAAATATTGCAACAAACAGTTTGTAATAAGAATATCTTCATTTTTGTTAAAGTTTCGTTGGTGAATACAACTTTGTTAGAGCTAATTAATGTTAGAATTGAATTTCATGAACGTGATTTTTTTAAAATATCAACTTGGCTTTTTTGCCTCTTCAATATTCAGAGAAATATTTTTGTTACAGCATTCTCTTCAGAAATGTATTAGCCTTCACCATGGGGAAACCTCACAAAAACTCAAGGTAAGCCAGGTGTTACGGATAAGCCACATATTATGACTTACTTATAGAATTTGAATTAATGAAGTAGTATATAGTACATTAATTTGTTACCTCAAAACACAAAACACTATTCATTACATCCAAGATAGGACTGAAATTGCATCGGCCAATTTGATTGTTTTTGGATTTCCGAATACGTCGGTCTCCTCGTATTTTAATGCATCTGGTAAGCATACGTCTCGTCGCTTGGAATTCGTCCATACTTGTTTGATACTGGCTGGTTGTCTCGTAGCATAAAATCTTCCTATATTGTGAGAATATTGTGATATATCTTAATTAAACTTCATGTCGGTTTTTTCATTTATAGCATTATTATTCTTTTTTATATCAATTATTTCAAAAAATTCCCGTTTCTGGTTATTTGTCTCCCTGTAGAATATTATTGTATTTTCGTATTGGAACACATGTTTGAATTTGGTTCTGTGTAACGAATTTTAAGATATTAGTTATGTATATATTGAAATATATATATATATATATATATATATATATATATATATATATATATATATATATATATATATATATATATATATATATATATATATATATATATATATATATATATATATATATATATATATATATATATATATATATATGTTTTAAAATTGATTTATTGACTGTTTGAGATAGCTTATTTTCAATGTTTTCAGCAATAACAGACTTATTTCAATTTAAAAATTTTCGTTGACGTTCCATTGTATATCATAACTATGGCAAAATATTATTATATATATATATATATATATATATATATATATATATATATATATATATATATATATATATATATATATATATATATCATCATCCTCAAATGCATCTTCTTCAACCCTTCCTAGTTAAGGTGTAGCCTCCTCTTACATAATTATATATTCTACACTCATTTGGGCCTATTCACATTTTTGTCTATTGCTGGCTATGCAAGCCCAAGTTGATCCTGCGAGCTTCTTTATGTCATAATCTCATCTTAGGTTGGGGCGTTTTCTTGGCCTTTTCACATTTCGGGGATACCATTGCGTTATCTTTGTGGTCCATTTGTCGTTCGTCCTCCTAGCGAGATGTCCTGCCCACTGTCACTATTGGAATCTGATTCATTTAATGATATCTATCACCTGGGTGTTTTGCCTGATCCACTCAATACTTTTTTGATTTCTCCTTGTTACTCCTAGCATGCATCGTTTGTGTCACCTAGAGGTTTCTAACGATTTCCAGATTTCAGGTTTCACAACCGTTTGTCAGTACTGGCAGTACGCATTTATCAAACACTTTCTCCTTTAGGCCGAGTGGCATTCTGGACTTGAAGATGAAAGAGTTCTGTCCGAATGTTTTCCTTGCTAATTTGGTCTTTCTATTTATTTATGTCTGTGGGGAGCCAGATATGTGTATCCATGACCCAGGTTTATATATTCCGCTACTATTTCCAGGGTAGTGTCATTAATTATTATTACTTGTGCGTCTATTAGTTCGTTGAAGATCATCTTGGTCTTACACAGATTTATCTTAAGACCTACTTCGTTGCTTCAACCTATCAGGATATTGTCATCAGCGAATCTTATGGTTTAAGTATGCTCTATATATTTTCAGATATGTGTTATTCCAGTATAACTTTCTGAAGATGCTCTCTAGCGTTGTGCTAAATAGCTGTACTAAAAACTAAAAATGACAAGGCAGCAGGTAATGACGAAATTACTGAAATATGCAGAAACTGAAACATGGAAATGCCTTGTTAAACTATACACGAGCTGTCTAAGAACTGGGCATATACCTAGGGAGTGGAACCGAGTCCTTATATTGTTGATCCACAAGAAAGGCAGCAAAGAAGACATTAAGAACTATAAGCCAATAAGTGAACTATTATCTACAATCTTTACATTAATTACAAAGTAACCTCTGAAACAACAGAAACAACAAATAATATTCAATAGTGTTTGCTTTTTCTTGATGTAAGTTCATTAAAATTGAATATAAATTCAAACACTTGAACTTATGATTTACAACGTATTGACTACATAGCATGACGCGTTTCGTTGTTACAAACGACTTCTTCAGATGCTAACAGAATAAAAATAACAAATTAGAATAAAGAGGTATAAATATGAAGGTAAATTGAGATTCTATGAATTGGGGTTTTACCTAAGATATTCCATTCTGAAATCTAATTTTTATCAACTGAAAAGGTTAAACAACGGTGAATTGTTTAATTCTATCTGCTCATTGAGCAAATTTCCAGAATTTTCATGTCGATTTATTAGCACTATTTCCCAAAAATCTAATTGACTACTTTTCTGTATATTATGTGAAATTTTTATCAAAAGTATGGTTTTCTGTTCATAAATGGTTAGCATAATTCGAATTGCTTTTGTTATGTGCGAAACTATATTCATGTTCCTAATTCACTGGATTCTAGTACCGAAATTTCTACTTTGTTACTATATATACACCGGACATATCGGATTTATATATATATATATATATATATATATATATATATATATATATATATATATATATATATATATATATATACCGGTCGGTAATTTTGAATAAAATTTATTCAAAATTTGAGAGTCATATTATCTAAGGTTTCTGTGTAGCGAGACGCGCATTTGTATAATTGAATAATTGTATAATTGAAGATTGAAGGACGCGCATATTATATAAAGCTTGGCAAACTTAAAGGAAATATGCAAAAGATTATATTATTGTTACGTATTTTGATTATTAAATGCAAAGAATGTAATGCATTATCTCATTTGGTTACATCATTATAATGTATTTTTTTTTGGGTTCATCATCTTTGTTACTGAAACCGCTGAAACTCATTTGCATACACAAACGTCCATGTCTTACCCAGGAATCGAACCCAGATCTCCCTGGTGAGCGTCCGTCACTCTCTCACTACGCTACAGACATAGTTCTTTCATATTACGTTCTCCTCCTGCAATGAAAAACTTGCATACTGGTATTTATTCTCAAAATTACAAATTAGCCGATTTCGGTGGCTTAGTCGGGAGAACCGCCGACTATGGTGCGGTTGAACTCGGGTTCGAGTCCCGGTGAAGGCATGGGTGTTTGTGTTTGTCTATGATTTGAGTAGTTAATTAGTAATAATATATGCTGGGTAAGGTACATTGTTTACAAGCCCAGTGGCCGTCCGAAACCGGTGTTAAACTATAGGTCCACTGAATTAAAAAAAAACACAAGTTTCATCGCATAACCGTTTGTAATAACTTAAAATTTCATAGATATCTGAGCTGTTAATGGTTTAAGTTACATATTATATGCGTTTCAATATACTCGTGTATGTAGAATAAACTTCCACAAAATCTAGAATTCATCTATTCCTTCTATATTCACATTTAGCCAAATAATTCAGTTAATTGAATTGATAATAAATAGTACTATGTAGATGATTTATGGAACTTCCAGTAAACACTATCGCATTGGTGGTGAACAGATTGATTACCCTAGGGCCATTTTGCCCTAATCTCGCTGTCTTTCACGAAGTTATCAACAATTCAGCAGCAAATTGGTTGTTCAAAACTTATTAGTTAACTTTGGACATTTCATGAGATGTGTTGGGAGATCTGAGAATTGCATAGAGCAAAATCGATATTCAATGACTTTGACGTGACTGCAGAATCCAGTGGAAACTGATTAAAATTTCTGCAGCAATGCTCCACAATGAAATTGTCTCGAGCGACGATATTTCCGGGCTAGAATTTCGAAAATAAAAATGAATAATAATTTGATAATGAGAACCATATTTAGAATTAAGGCATGAAAAGCTGAGTTGTCTGAAATTTGATTGTTACTGAGGAATTCTTCATGTATTTGGTTCAAATTTGAATTTTTTTGATATATGGATGAAGAACATTGAATTCATAGTAAAGTATGTGCTCGAATTATTAATTTTCCGAACGGCGCTGAAAGATGTCACACTTATGATGGTAACAAACATTACTTTGACTGACTTGATGGTGTCAGATTTCGAATTTTATTATCAATTATAAATATCATCATCACATGGAGATTCAACGTTAGTAAGTATTAATTGGGATTCTTTCATTATAACGAGTTCTATCATAAATAAAAACAGAAAAGAGAAAGTGGACAGGATCCATCAATCACATATCACGTTTCCTATAAAACAGAATATTTTTTTGGCATACATAAAATACCAATATCATTTCACCAATATTTTAACTACGAACAAACTCAAACTTAGTACCGCGGAAAAACCGTTTATAAACCGTTTTCGTATGAAACTGAAGTACAACTTTCAGATTATCGTAGTTTTTTGGAAGCAAAAAATCAGAAATTGGGAATGGATACAATTCCTTGAAGAGTATTAGAAATTACAATTTGAAAAATTAATTATAGCCATATCTTATTTTGATTATTGTTTGCTATCGCATTAGATCAAATCTACCAAACTTTCATAGAAAAACTTAAAATCACTATCATGTCTTCTCTTATCCCTTTCTCTTTTGAATTCCTTGGTACTTTCTGAAAGAAAAACGAAACTTGATTGTTTGGATGCTTCACAACTGCGAATCGCAACAGAACGTCAACAAAAATTTCGATTTCTTCAAACAAATGAGCCTGTTGCTATCATTAAAAATATCATGATATATATATATATATATATAATATATATATATATATATATATATATATATATATATATATATATATATATATATATATATATATATATATATATATATATATATATATATATATATATATATATATATATATATATGTAGTGTTAGTCGCGACTGTCCAGTTAGACATATATTAGATATTCGTGGGATAGCAGTCAGTTGATGTCAAATAAGAAGACTCTTTTTTCCTTAACTCGAGCTTTCAAATCTATATTGTTCCTTCATCAGGATTGGAAATTGAGGTTTATTCTAAAAGGTTTCCGCATAAAATGAACGAAATTTGTACCAGACCGCATGGTTTAGCTCTAATTGATAAACCATCGTGCAGGTCAATAATTCAAGATAACCTGCACGATGGGTTATCAATTGAAGCTAAACCATGCGGTCTGGAACAAATTTCGTTCATTTTATGGAACAACCTCTTAGAATAAACCTCAATTTCCACTCCTGATGAAGGAACAATATACTTTTGAAAGCTCGAGTTGAGGAAAAAAGAGTCTTCTTATTTGACATCACCTGACTGCTATCCCACGAATATCTTATATATATATATATATATATATATATATATATATATATATATATATATATATATATATATATATATATATATATATATATATATATATATATATATATATATATATATATATATATATATATATATATATATATATATATATATATATATATATATATATATATATATATATATATATATATATATATATATATATATATATATATATATATATATATATATATATATATATATATATATATATATATATATAGTAAAAATTCGAATCTTGGGTTTTTTAATTAAAACAAAATGATGTTAGTTTATTTCCAAATTACGTTTCGGTTATTATTTTGACCTTTATCAAACTGGTATATATGTCATATGCTCGCACAATATAAATAATTCGGACATAAAAGTTTATAGGTGACAACAACAAACAACTATATTGACGATTATACTTAAATATTTAAAATTTTTCCAAACAACAAATCACGTTCATCTCTCAAGGCTCATTACAAATATATGACTGATATCGTATAGTCATTTAATAGGAATGCAGAATGTAGAGTAAATTGAATTGTAGTCATGGGTATTCGACAAGGAACAGTGATGTGCTACCTATTCTCAATCATAAAACACTCAATTTTATTACTCGCTTTATTATTAGAGTATCGAAACTTTCAACAATATAGCCCTCAATTTCAAATCACTAAATGCTCATTTGTTCGAAAAGAGAGTAAAGTATTTGCTATTAACAAATGCATATTCTAGTGTGGCAGAGTACTTTGATGATACATTCGTAGACAGGAATGTAATAATCAATTTTTTTATCTTATGTCCATTAATTTTTTCACTTGGACTATCGTTCACATAGTGAAATCAACTTCAAAAAATATATTTTTGGGGTTGTTCTTCTTTTTCTAATGTCTTGTATAAATTTCCGTTTTGAGTCTTCTTCTTGAGTCATGTGGAAGACCCAAAACTGAATCCAATCGTTTTGTAAACAATATTGTCAGTTGTAATTACTGTATTAAATGATTTAATGTTACTGCACAATGCGAGGAATGTTTCACATCAATTATTACTATTATATTACACACACACACACACACACACACACACACACACATATATATATATATATATATATATATATATATATATATATTCGCATATGCATAAGTAGGTAGTTATCAAAGTCGTAGCTTGTAATGAAATTTCGCAAATGATAATTTATGGCCTTATGTTTGTATAGATCACTCACGTCGTTGAAATACGGGGAACTGTTTGGATATATTTACGAGTAGCTGCTCCAATAAGTCCATATATTACAGTACGATGTGACGTTTTGGGTTGATTCTGCTCTTAGTGTACTACTACCTAATTGGTTTTTATGTCTTTGCTCTAAATGGGAATGAAGGTTGATATTACGTAATGAAGTAATAACACAATTTCGAGAGAATAGTTTGATAAAGATATTTCTAGCAATAATTCAATAAATTGATGTAATGAATTTATTAAGCCCACACTTTAGACATCACTTCAAAAATTGAATAAATCAACTAATTCTCTTTGGAAATTGAATTGAAAATTTGTTCCACACGACGCATAGGGTGAATTCGTGAAAGTTTATATTTGAATTTTCTGAATCAGTAAACAAAGATGTATATAATCAAATGATTGAAATCAGATGATTACCGTTTCAAAGATTATTCATCTTTTTTATATGGGGTTTTCTCAAAATGATTGATATTAAATATTTGTCAATTTTATATTCCTTATAATTGATGGAATATAAACAAAAATTCAAACACTTGAACTTTTGATTTACTTTTTTATTGATAGCATAACATGACGTGTTTCGTCGTTAAAAACGACTTCTGCAGATGCTACTCGAATACTCAACACCTGAACTTTTGATTTGCACTTTTATAGATACTCGTAACATAGCATGACGCGTTTCGTCGTTACAAGCGACTCCTTCAGATGCTAGTAGAATACACAAGACTTGAACTTTTGATTTACCTCTTTATTGAAAACATACCATGACGCGTTTCGTCGTTACAAACGACTTCTTCAGATGGTACTAGAATACTCAACACTTAAATTTCTGATTTACACTTTTATTGATAACATAGCATGACGCGTTTGTTCGCTAAAAACGACTTCTTCAGGTGCTACTAGAATATTTAACACTTGAATTTCTGGTTTTCACTTTATTCATTAATATCATCAATAATGTGTTAAGTTCATTCAATTTTTTTTCAATAAAAGTGTAAATAAAAAGTTCAGGTGTTGGGTATTCTAGTAGCATCTGAGGAATATATATATATATATATATATATATATATATATATATATATATATATATATATATATATATATATATATATATATATATATATATATATATATATATATATATATATATATATATATATATATATATATATATATATATATATATATATATATATATATATATATATGAAATTATGAAATAATAGCTAATAAAATGTGAGCGATGAAAGTGAGTGACAATGTTATGGCGAAGAATTTCCTACATAATACAAAATATGAAATTTTGCAGAAGATTCCATTATATAGTGCATCAAACAAAATAGAAACAAAGTAAAACTATCTGACGAAATTCGAATTGAATTACTACATATTTCTGAGGTCAATCTCCTGAAATAGATCGAATAATTTATCGTATGAAACGTCATTTTAGATGACATATTTGTGCCAAAAGGATTTTCAATCATTTTGTAATATATTTCTATTTTATGCAAATATTCATAACGAAATTCAAACAAGAAAACCACTTAATTTTATGATAATTAAGTACTTATTCCGCTGCTCCTCAATAGGC